AGGGACTGGAGGTCAAGAGAGAGGAAGAGGCTTGGGGATCATACAAAGGGCTGTCCTCTGAGGGGCGGGGTCAGAGGGTGAAGCTGGGAGGGGGCAGGGCCCAAGGCCCATTGGTTGGGCCAGAGCAGGGGTCTCTACCTTTTTGCATGCCCTGGGCCCCTCGGCTTCTCAGAATCATGTCCTTACTGACACAGTTATCACAGCCCTGGGTTAAGAAGCCCTGGACTGGAGGGCAGGGGTGAGCTGGAGAGAGGCCGATGTTGCTGCTGAGGTCCCAGCATTCTGTGTCCAAGAATGGAAGAGTGACTCCTCTGCCCCTTGCTCAGTGGGGAGGGTGGAGACCCCAGCCCCAACAGCCTGTCCTTGGGGGCTTCCCCCCCAGTCACTCAGAGAGGGACCACAGCTCGATGCCACAATTCCCCCTCCATGGGCCAGTGTCCCAGCTTTGGGTGGGCCTCAGGTAGGAGCCCACCAAACCCCTCAGTGCCAGGGGATTGTCTGAGAAGAAAGCAGGAGGGTCAGAGGCAGGATTAGAACCCAGGATCCACTGATCCGCTCTCTCCCTCCCAAAGACTTCTCCATTGTGTTCTCTTGTTCTGTGTGAACAGGACTACGTACAGAGAAGGCATAGAATCAGACCTTGTGGGTCAGCTTTGAGCAAGGTCCCCAGGGACAGCCAGCCCAGGGACCCTGCAGCTTCCTACCTTAGAGACGACTAAACCGAAGTCCTCACTAGACAGATGAGGAAACAGAATCAGAGCCTGGAAAGCTGAGGTGCCCACACCAGGATCATCAGGGAAGCTGCCAGGCTCAGTGGGGGTGGAGTGGAAATCTAGAGGGGGGCTGTGAGGCCCTGGGGCCTCTTGGCTTTGTTCCTCCTCATGGGGCACGAGGGACCTTCTGGGAAGGGCTGGGGAGGGTCACAGAGAAGGCCCAGCCTGGCAGGCTGGGGAGAGCCCACGGCCTTGCCAGGCCGGCCACCAGAAGAGACAGGGCAGTGCTGAGTGATTTTCCACCGGAAAAGAAAGCCCTTCTGTCTGAGGCAAGATTTTCCAAAGCTCTGGGAGGCCTGCGGCGGCTGGGAACAGGATTCTTCTGTTCCTGCAGCTGTGACCTGGCCTCAGACTTGGGCTGACTTTCCAGCTGAGTTCCGCTCCAGCCCAGGGTGGGCCCAGGAGCTGGCTGGCAGGGTCAGTGCTCAGCTGCCTTGCTCTGTCCTCACACAGAGTGGCCACAAGAGCAGAGGTTTCCAGAGCCCTGTGAGGATGCAAAGCCCTCACACTGTATTATCCCCAGAACCGATGTGATTGTCCTGAGATCAGGCCAAGAGGCCATGGCTGGACACCAGGGGTCTCAGCCTGGGCTCCACAGACCCTCGAGCTGTGGGGAGATTTCTGGGGGTCCATGAATTTGAGGAAGAAAAAAGGGCTTCTTTATTCAGAACAGTTGACTTCCTTTCTAATCCTCTGTATTTCATCTTTGTGCCTTTGAAAACACGATTCAGAGAAGGAAGGGTCCCCAGGCCTCAGGGCAGAGGCCAGAGGCCACACCCCCCTTCAGCCTGCCCTCTCCCCCTTCTTTGGGTTCAGAGAGTCTCTATCCCCTGTCCCCCTGCCACGAGGTGGGGGGATGGCCCAGCCCCCCTCCCTCCAGGCTTCCTCTAATGCTCTACCCAGCCCTGGGCTGTGTGCCCAGGTGTCAGACAGGATCACCGGAGAAGCATTTGTGAAGTGCTTAGCAAGCCTCAAAACTGGGACAAGGATGTCAGCAACGTAATTCAGTTCAGCAAACACTTTCAGGCACCTACTGCAGGCCAGGTGCTGGGCTGGCCTCTGGAGACACAAGGACAAAACCAGATGCGATAGGAATGTGTCCCCAGAGAAGGCAGCAGGACACCTCCCCCCGCCCCCCTCCCCCAGCCCTGGAATGTGGAGAACTCACAGGGATAGCCAGATGGGGAAGGAGGGGGACAGAACGAGGCCGGGGAGGAGGGAAAGGGGAAGGGGGAAGAAGGGGAGGAGAGGAGGGGGAGGAAGGAAAGGGCGAGGAGGGAAAAGGGGGAGCGGGAAGAAGGAGAGGAGAGGAGGAGGGGGAGGAGGAAAGGGGAGGAGGGAATGCAGGCGGGGGGAAGGAGGGGAGAACAATGTTGAAAACTAAAAATAAATGAATTAGTTTTTAAAAGGAAGAAGTTTGTCCAGTATCGTAGGTGTGAGAGTGAATATTCTCAGGACCACTCTGCCTATTTGGGGGGCTTCTGAAGGGGCTACTTCAGTGCTGGCCCTTAAGGAATGGTAACTCTCCCACCAAGGGGCCTCCCTTCCCCATGAAGGATGGACCAAGGGTGAGCAAGGTTAACTGGCGCACCAGGAGCATCAGCTGACCTGGGCAGCCGCAGGAAACGGCTTTGAAAAGAGCCGGCCTCTCAAACCTCCTGCAGCCTGTAAAACGCCAGGATGGCCTGAGTCCTCGAATGTGCAACAGAAGGGACTGGTCAGCTTCTCTGTCTGCAGGCTGCTGATGCCCCAGAGCCCTGCTGAGAAAGGGGGGCTGGTCCCCGCCTCTGGTCTGTCTCCAGGGGCCCCATCGCTGGAGGGAAATGGGCAAATGGCTGTTTACATGATCATGACTAGGCCTGGGACTGGGGCATTTGGGCCAAGAGCGAGAGGCCTGCTTCCTAGCACATCTGTTCGAGGTGCCCGGTGTGGGAAAGGCAGTGCCCCCCCATTGCCACCCACGGCCCGCTCAGAGTGTGGCAGGAGGGGCCACCCTTCCCACCCTGTCCCCCACCCACACCTGCTCCCCTCCTAATCTCCCTGTTCCCGTCCGGGCCCCTCCAGCCGCCCAGTCGCCAAGGTTTACAGCCTTCGCACATCCCGTCCTCCTCCCCGTCCCTCACCCCTCACAGCCAGTCCATCGGCTGCTGCAGAGTCCCTTCTCCCACCAGCCCACGTCTCCCAACCTCCCCCTTCTTTCTACACACAGGCTGGGCTGAGCCCTCATCCCCTCCCTCGAATCTCTGCTGGCCTCCTGGCCTGCCTGCCTCCAGACACTCCCTTCTCTAATCCCACCTCCACTCAGTCAGTCTACAGTTACTGAATGCCTACTACGTGCCAGGCAGGGTGCTAAGCTTCCCCCAATCTTGGCCTGCCCCAGGCATGCCTCTGCACAAGAGGCTTCCCTGACTCCCTGTGACTCCTGGCCTGGAGTTTAAGGCCCTCCAGACTCTGCCTCCTCCTCTTTCCAGACCAGTCTCCCCAACTCCTTGACATTCCGGCCAGTCTGGCCTCTGTGCTGCTCCCCAGGCTTCAAGTTCCATCTACCACCTCCAGGCCTTTGCCTCTCTGGTCTGGAAGCTGGAGTGCCTTCCCTTTTCACCTCCTCCTTTGTCAAATCCTGCCCCCCCTGGGGTGCTTCCTGAGGCCCCCAGGCCTGAGTTCTCTCAGCACTCACATTCACTTTTCCAGACTTTGTCTCTTATCTATTGACTAATCTCTGTGTCCAGCCCCACCTCCAGTAAAAGAGAGGCCCCCTGAAGGCAGGGATGTTGTGGCTCTGCACCCCAGCACCCAGAATGGCACATAGGAGGTGACTGGTGAGTGCTTGAGTCGAGCTGGTCAAGCCTGGGGCACTGCTGCCCGCCCATCTGGTATCCTGCACCCTCAGTTCCAGAGACCACACGGACTCTGGTCCAGGCTCATGGGAGAGTGGACACTGGCCTGAGCTCTCCAGGGTCCTCTGTACCAGGAAGGAGCTGAGTGAGGTCCCCTGGTCCTGGGACAGGCCTGTAACAGCCGGATCTCCCCAGCTGTCTTTGAGAGCCCTCTCCAGGAAGGAAAGGGTCAGATCAAGGCCAGAAAGGTGGTATCCCAGTGTTTCTCACCCCAGCAGCCACTGTGAGGCAGGGGTCAGTGAGCAGGAATGCAGGGCAGGCAATGGGCATGGGTCAGGACAAATGCTCCTGACTGGCCTAGAGATCCGGACCCAGCAAACAGAGAAGAAGCGTTCTCTGCCCAAGGCCCAAACCAGCAGCCTGGGAAGGGACTGGGCCCAAGGAACACCAGCCCCTGTACAAAGGAGACCCTGTCGGAGACAGATCTTGTTACAAACCAGATGGCAGGACTTCCAGGTGCCTCTGACGTCCTGGAGGTGACCGCTCCACCCAACAGAGGCAGATTTTGAGGCCAAAGACATCATCTCCCTGCAGCGCCCCTGGAAAAAGAAGGGGCCTGTCCAGGCTCGGCCTGGCTGGTGCTCCCCTGGAGCCCTCCTGACTCCCCTCACACTTGCCAGAGCTCAGGCTCCACTGTCCCAGCCTTGGAAGAGCCACTGGAGCTGTGGCCTCCAGGGACCCTAAGCAAACACACTGCTGCAGAGCCTCTGAGCACAGGTGGGACAGGGGAGCCTGTGGGCTGGGACCAGCAGATGCTGGGACTGGCCCCCACTTAGCCAGGCTCAAGAGCTTGGGAGTGGACGCTGGGGGGAGGGTAGAGACGGGGAAAGAGGAAGGGGCAGTGGGTGGAAAGAGAGGCCAGAAGCAGAAGAGTCACTGAAGTCACACTCCCTGACCGGCTGGGGAACGTGCTCAGTTCTGGGAAGCCCCATTCATTTTAGGAAGGACGCTGACAAGCAGGAGAGCAGCCAGAAGGGAAGGCCAGTCCACAGCAGGGTCAGCTGGAGGAGCCCGGCCCTTGCAGCGGGGATATCTGACCTCTTCTTGTTGGCCCAGAAAGCAGTCATGCAAGGCTGGAAGCAGCTTTAAGGAAAGGGACCAACGCCAGCAGAGAAAAGAGCTGTTTGTGAACTCAGGACAGTGCTAGTCCTGACAGTTAAGAGGCAAGCTGCACAGAGGAGAAGACCCTCGGAGCCCAGTGGAGCCCCTCACCCAGCAGGGACGCAGAATCCAAGGGGGTGGTGCCCCACCAAGAGAGAAAAGGACACAGAGGAACCATAGATACAAAGGCTGGAGTTACCTGGGCTACACGCATCACCGATATTTGTGCCTCATTGTCACTGTAACCTAAGCGTGTACCCACTCTTCCCATGTATGTGGTATCTATTTGTGAAAGAGCGTGCCTAGAGAGAAACAACACATTAAGGGGTCAGAGAGTGGGGAGAGGACAAGGGAGAGGGATCATTGTGGGGGAGGAGGAAGGAGTACAACAAAGGGGCCTATAAAAGGGGGTTTAGATTTATGGGAAAGGGAGGGCAAGGGAGGGATTATTGGGGAGTGTAGGCTAAGTAATTGGAGGGCAAGGTAGCAGGTAAAAGTAAGGAGGAGTCAGGAGGACTAGGAAATAAGAGATATGCACAAACAAAAACAAAGATTAGGAGTAGAATCTCTTAGGGAAAGTATATGTTTATATATGTGTATGTATGTATACATCGATATTTATATATAAATATATCAATGTTTAATTGCAGCCTGGGCTGGAGAGGAGGGAGGGAGAAAAAGCACAAAGTAAAAAGGGTATGGCAGAGAACAAAAGAAAACCTGTAAGGAAGCAAAGAAGAGATGGACAGCTTCTAACACAATGTGCAGTATTTAATATGGGCTTTCTTGAAATGGAAATTTATTGCTTTGTATTTTTAATCCTTTCTCATGTTCTGCTGTGCACATGACATTTTTTCTTTTTTTTAATTTTATATTTGTTTTAATATTTAAGTTTATAATTTGTTCCCTTTTCTTTATTTTTTATATATGTAAGTTTTAGTATTCAAGCCAAAAATAAAAAAGAATTTAAAAAAAGAATGTGCCCCAAATGTTTTGGGGGTGAGGACGTAGAGGAATATTTTGTAACCACTATGCCACTTAGTCTATCTCTTTGCTAAGAGGAAATTTTATCTCCTGGCTGACTGTTAATGAGAAGCACACTGGTGGGGGCTCATGAGCTAGAGAAGCATGGCCCCACAGCAGTAAACTTGAATCTTCTGGGGATCTGACCCTCAAGAACAAGTACAGAGTTGGAGGAGCAGGCCAGAAGCTGGGCCATGTAGGCTTTCTATAGCCTTGAGGACAAAATATAAAGTCTCTGACTGCCTTTTTAAAGCCCTTTACTTTTGACCCTGACCATCTTCCCAGCCTTGCTAATCACCACCCTGCTCCTGCACCCTCTTCTCTCTGGGCCTCCTCTCTGTTCCCTCGCTAAACCCTGGTTAGCACCTGCCGTGTGCCATGCTCAGAATTCACTCCTCCTTACTGTGGTCACTCCCACCTTGACCATCCATGAAATCCCTCCTGGTAGCTCTTTGCTCACTTGTATCTAAGCACCTTGTGTTTACCGTGTGTCTCTTCTGCAGGTGCTTAGGTGGGCCTCTGCTGGCCCCCCTGAGACACTGTAACCACCCTGAAGGCATTTTTATCTTTGCATCTAGCACAATGCTGGTCACACAGGAGATAGCCAATGCCTGTTGGTTGATTTAAATGCCTACAAAGCCCTTTTGGGGGGTGAGGAGTGGGATTTCCAGTAATGGGAATCAGGAAAAGCGTCTCAGAGAGACCAGTAGAATTCCTTGTGATCGATCCAGGGGAATTCCAGTCCTTTTCACCACAACTGAGTTGAATATGAATCCAGTACGGCTTCTTGCTGTTTGACCCAGGGTGAGCCTCAGTTTCCCCTCTGTAAACTGAGGACAATCACAGCTTCAACACTGGACATACCAGGCTGATGTGAGTGTGCAGTGAACACAGCCCTTACCTCTCTCTGTTGGTGGCCAAAGGCTGTCCAAGAGCATTGGCATTAGACACCGGTGACTTTAGGGGATGGCAGGGCCCCCTTCCAGCCAGGGCTCTCCTCCCCTTGGCGGAGGCCGGCAGGAAGGACCGACTCGGTTCCCCGGCTATCTCAACCTTCTCAGCAGGGCCCTCCTTGGGATGCTGGGAGCCGTAGGGGGTCTGCTCATCCATCTGCTGAGTTGTCTTTACTCAGCCTGTGACTGATCGGAGGGGAAATGACACTGAGCTCCCGGTCCCTGGTTCTGTGGTCTCTGCCCGAATCACCCTCAGGGCTCAGCTGCGGAATAATGCAGGGTCTGAAATACTGACTTTTATCACTCAGATACAGCAGACACCTACACGGAGTAATCTGGCCATCCTGGGACCCTTTCAGATGGAAGCCTGAAGACAGCGGCTCTGCATGAAGGAAGGGGAGCTGACAGAGGGCTCACGTCAGACTCAATGACTCATGGCAGCCCCTTCATTTTATAGAAGTAGAAACTGAGGCACAAAGTCATGAGAGGCCCCAGGTCACAAGACAGACCGGGGGCAAAGCCAGGCCTAGTACCTCGGGCTCTTGGCTCCTGGGCACGCCCTTTCTGCCTGAGCCCAGGGACTCCGAGCAATGATTCCCAGGAACTCCATATTCCCAGGCTGAGGGAACACAAGTCCTTTGCCCCAGTTTGGTGAGATCGAATCTAGCTGTAGGTGAGCCACTTACCGTCCCATCCAGGGAGCTCCCACCTTCCCCTTAGAAAATTCGTGAGCAGCCAGATGGCTCTTGGCCAAAGAGAATACATTCCTGCTGATTGTTCATGGGGTCCCAGGGGTAGAGCGGACTGCCCATGGCTTAGCAAGGGTGTGTGTGTGCATGTGGTGTGTGTGTGTTTGCATGTGTATGTGTGTGCCTACTCCAGTGAAGGGGCCTGTCTGGGCTCCCCAGGAGTTCAGGACACACAGCACACCCCGTGCCAGTTCCCTGCCCTTCTCTGCATCCCAGCAGGCTCCCCCAGCTTGGACCTACGATCATCAGAGAGCTTCTCAAGCTCTCACCCCCATCCTGCAAACCCTCTGGCACCAGGCCCAGCCTGGCTTTCCAACTCTTGTTTGGTCTGCTTTTAGCCTTTGCTTTCTCTGCCTCAGCTGAGAGTTTCTCTAACTTCGAACAGATGCCAGCTGCGGCTGGGGCAGGACCTGGCCTACAGCGAGAGACCTCAGGTCCTGGACCCAGCCGTGAGACTTTGCCAAGTCACTGCCCTCCCCCACAAGCTCCCTTCCTCTGCCCCTTCTTTGTAGGTGCTCAAGCCTTCTGAGGACCCCCAAGCAGCAGTGACAATGCTGACGTCCAGAAGGAGCATCCTTTCTTGCTGCCAAGGTCAGACGCACAAGAGTTAACCCACAAACCCAGCATTGGGGGCACCCGGGGTCAAGCGTTTGCTCTAGGCGAGCACAGGCATTTCAGAAGGCAGCAAAGTGCGGAGAACTAATTGCTGACCTTGTAACCAGAAACACCCGAGTTCAAATCCTGCCTCAGACGCTTGCTAGCTGCTCAGTTTTCTCATTTGTAAAAATAGTTCAGCAGCTGCACTGGGGCCACATTCTCAATTCCAACTCATACTGGTGGAGTGGGTCAGTTAGTCAGTCTACAAGCCTTTATTGAGCCCTTATAATTGCCAAGCACTGTGCTAAGCTCTGGCAATACACATACAAATACACACAAAGACATCCCTGACCCCAGGGAGCTTACCTGCTAATGGGAAGACAATACCCGGAGAAAACTGAAAAGGAGAGAGGAGAGAGAGAAACCATGTTGGGTCCAGTCCGCAGCAGTGTGGCCCCCAGGAGGAGCCCGAGTCTATTCCTACTGCTCTTGAGCCCCCATCTGGTGTGCTTGTTACAATGCCATTGAGCCTGGTTGATATCGCCCAGGCTCTACAAAAAAGGTATTTGTAAAGCAGGACAGAAATGCCCCAAACCCGCCCCCTGGGGACAGTGCACTCAAAGCCCCAGGAATGAGGTGCCCCGGGAGCCTTCCTTTCTCTCTTCAGAGTCCCTACCCAGCCCAGTAGGGTCAGACTGAAATAGAAGGGGATCCGGGCAGGCCACACACATTGAAGCAGAAAACCACAAATTAACATTATCTAGGTTGGACTGAGTCTTTTGTTGTTGCTGTTAAACGTTTCCCAATTACTCTTTAATCTGGCTGCGGCAGCACTTGATGGCCCTCCGGCAGCCTCCAGACAACCGGCTTCCTTCCTTCCTTGGACTGGCTTCTTGCAGGAGGGGGTGTGGTGGGGAGCACGCCCCCACTGCTCTACACAGCAACCACGTGGCTACGCACAGAGGGGAGAAGAACGCTCTTACATGTGGGGGACACTTGGGGCCCAGACCACTCACCCTCCAGCGCTGCCTGGCCCCACGGCCCCTTCTCTCCTTACAGTGTTCCCATGCTTCTCCTCCTGGGGGCAGCCCCCATGCCCTAGGTCACTCGCGCAGCTAGGCACCCTGGCCTGTCCACCTGCAGTAACCAGTGAGGAATGCCCAGCTGTTTTCTTACCTCCTCTCCAAGCTGTCTCCTGCCCCAATTCACCCCCTAAAGAGGGCAGATTGCTTTTTGAAGGCCTGCCAGGGTCGTGGCAACAAGAGCTGCCCCTTCACCTTACTGAGCTTCATGCTTCAGGAAGGCAGACGCGTCTTTGCCCTTTCGGACCTAAAGGCATTGTGGGCCCCATTCCTGCCTCTTCCCTCCTGTGATTTCATCATCTGGCATGAGAGGGAATCAACTGTTGGGGAGGGGGATCCTGATGGACGCCCCTCTCTACAGGACCGAGTGATGTCACTGAGAAATAATTTGGATATACCTGTACCCAGAGCCACAGAGCCATTTTACAGATGAGGAAACTGAGGCCTAGTGAGTGGCAGCCATGGGCCCAGGCAGTAGGTTGTCTGTTCTTTTCAGGTCAGTGTTCTTTCCAACACACTCGCTGCTTCTCAGGATTACCAGCATTGCTCAATAAAGACAGAGACGCCAAGGTGCTGAAGGTGGGAAAATTAATGAACTAGGGGGTAAAAATAGGTTTTGCCCTGTGGGCCAAGAAGCTCGTGTGCTGTGGGGTACCCACAACCCCCCAGCTGCCAGCGTGTTCATGTCACCAATGACCAAGCGGCCGATGTCCAGCTCCATTCATCTGCAAAACGTGTGGAATGTTGTGTGAGAGGAGCCCTGGGCTCCAGGGTCTGCTTGGGTGTGAGCTTCTCACAGAAGCTTCAGAGAAATCCTTGGACGGGCCTGCCCCACGCCCACAGACCGATGCCCACAGACAGGCCCTCCTCTGGTCCCAGGGGTGGGGCTGGCAAGGGTGGGATCTGCCTCCTGGGGCTCCTGGAAAGTGAATTGCCTCGAATGCACGGTGAGGAGCTGGGGAAATGGTAGGAGGGTCATACCAGGAGACAGTGTCTGCCCTGAAGCCGATCCTGGGAAGCTCCTCACAGCTCTCTCCTGTTCCCAAGAGAACAGAGAAAGCTGCTCTAGCTCCCATTCACCTGAGAACTTCCCCTGCCCTGCTTAGGAAGGCTCCTCGTTGGACTGTCCCAGCAAGGGGGAGTTTGCCTGGGCTTCACCCAGGCTGCTCACCAGGGAGCCCTGCCTGCCTCTGGCCCTGACCAAAGCTCAACCTGGGGTCCGGGGAGGCTCAGCTTGTCTGAAGCCCAAAAGGACTAGGCAGCCAGCAAGGAGGCCCACAGAGCCTCATCCCCAGTGGAGGGGTTTCGAACCCCTTGAACTACATAAAGTAGTGGAGGGGGTGGGGGGCAGGGTGCTGCCAAAGCTCAGAATTACCTGAACCTGGAGAGAGAAACTAAGGCTTAATATGAAAAATGTTCTAATGCAATATTTGGGGGAAAGTGGAAGGTGGAGGAAGGGCCAGAACAGCTGGGTGGGTGGAGTACTGAGAATGGAGTGACCCCCTCTCACTTTCTTCTGTTTTCTTGGCCAAGGAGAACGACTTTGGAAAGAGGAGAGAGGAGAACAGAAATGGGGGGGGGTTCCCAAGAGAAGGTCCTTCCACACCCCCCCACTCCCACCTCCACCCCTGATGAACTCACCTCCCAAGGCCCAGAGCAACCACATCTTTGGGTTCCGAAAGAAGGAGACCACAGGTCCGGCAGGCCCTGACCATACTACTGAACAGAAGAAATGCTGCAGGACCAGAGAAGCACAAACTGTCCAGATTTTCCCAAAGGGCAGAGAAGAGGGTCTGAAGCCTCCAGGCCAGTGGACAGTGAGAGTTCATTGCCAACCTGGGCCATCAGGGCAGGCTTCCTGGAGGCGCCAAAAAAGGGAGAGGGAGGAGCATCCTGGGCACAGAGATACCTCAACAAAGACTCAGAGCCCAGAGAACGAGGTCCAGGTGGGGCACAAAATACTCAGAACCACGGAAGATAGAGATGGCAGCGGGCCTTGAATGCCAGGTGATGAGGCAGTGAGGCCAGAGGTTCCTGGGCTCCCTGAGCGGATCTGCCCTCTCCCCAACACCAGCTCCCTGCCCCGTAGGTCCAGCTGGTGATGAGGGGTCTTTAGCAGCTCAGGGGGCTGCTCCTCTCCCAGGCTGGCGTCCCGTGGGGTTAGGGAGAAATTGGGCAGACAGCCACGCCCACACAAGGGTGGAGAGTCGTGAGGGGTGTGCCGAGCTGGCGAGACGCAGTGAATATTGTCATCTGCTGCTCGCAGGCATGTGGCCATGCACCGGCAGGGCACACACACACCCACACACCGGGGGGGGGGGGTGCCCAGGCACACACACTCAGGCACCCCATGACAGGATGTGGGCTCACAGCCAGCCAGATACACACGGACACGGACAGGGCTTCCTCCGCCTGACAGAGATGCGTCCCATTTTGTGTGACAGGTCATTTCACGTTTCTGGGCCGCAGTTCTTCAGCCGGGAGTCTAGTCTAGATCCACGATCCTCCGAGTTCTTTCCCCTCCTTGAGCTCTGGCCCGCCCCCTTCCCATCACCTCCGCTGCCCTTCGGCTCCTCCCACCCCAGGCCCTCCTTCTACCTATTGGCCCCGCCCACCCTTGTAGCCCCGCCCCCAGGATGACCCAGGACCGCACCTTCTCCCTTTGGGTTTTCCTGAGACCACTGACCGTAGCCTTGGGAGGGGCTGGGTTCTCTTACTATGACTCGAATCGGTGACCCTTGACCAGCTAGCTTTCAGTAAACGGGTCGAAGATGCAGACGGGACGGCTGAGGCCCCACCCACAGTTCTTCGTCCCCCCTTTGAAGCGGGAGCTCGGAGGCTGCAAAGACTAGAGCGGGAAGGGACCTTCATCTTACACAGGAGGAAACTGAGGCCCAGAGTGGCCCAGCCCGGCCAGCCAGTTAGCCCCCGCGTCTGTCGGAGGGCCCCAGCCAACCAAGGGCTGTTCCTGCGCCCAGGCGCGAGCGCATGGTACGCTTAAGGGACAAGACCAGAGCTGCTACTGAAGGACAACGCAGAACGTGAGGGGCAAATGAGCGTTTCCCTTTCCTGGTCCTGTCTTCAGGATTTCTGGGCCGGCGAGAAAGTGCAGAGCCTGGAAACGATCAGCGGAATTGGAGTGTTCCTGAGCGGAGAGCTTCTGATCCTTCCGACCTCCGAAGAAACCGGTCCCCTGGGGAGGGGGTGGGGACAAAGGCGAAAGGCCATCGGCCTGGTCCCCACGGAGCCAGACCCTGCAGTGGGCGAAGCTTCACCTAGGAACAGAGGCAAAGATCCGAGGCTGGAGATCTCTGGGAGTCCCCGAGAGCCAGTCAGGCAGTACTCGGCGTGCGCTGGAGGGCCTCTCTCCCTGGATCGTCCCTCAGCCCCTGGGTCACGCTGCTGGGCCTGTGGATTCTTGCCCTGGAATGTCCCTCCGCTAGGCCGGTGCCTATGTCCCACGAATGATTTCCCCCTGCGGCCTCCACTGTGAGCTAAGGCCGCGCTGGCATGTCTTCATTCCCCTCCTGGTTCTGCCCGAACCTTCTGTCTCCAACCGGCGAGTCTCTGGGCAAACTTTCATCTTCATCATTCGCCCTTTGCAGCCCCTCCCCCTGCCAATTAGAATAGAAGCTCCTCCTGGCCAGACACCATCAAGAAACAAGCCAACTTGTGTCAGTATCCCCAGGCCTTACTTAGCACAGCGCCTGGAACATAGTGAGCACTCTAAGGCTTCTGACCTTGGCTCCCTCTGGTCCCCCTCCCCTGTCCTCCCCGGACCCCTCTTACTGGCTGGGGGAGGTACCACAGCCCTGCCCCAGCCCCCAGCCCGAGGAGTCTGGGAAGCTCACTCCCAGGTTCACCTTCTCACTTCCGCTCAGTAATTAAATTAGGACCAGGTGTGCAGCAGATGGCCGAGCCGCAGGAGATGGGAGGAGATCAGAGCGTCCCAGAACAAGGCCACGGATGTTGCTTGGCTCAGGGGCCATGAGGAGGGGCCGTGTGCTCCCTCCCAGTTTCCCCAGGATGTGCGGGTGTCTTGCAGGGTGGGATGCCTGGGGCTGGGAGGGTGTGTGTCTGCCAGGGCAGCACAGAGGCCTCTGACTCTGAGGATGACCCCTGGTCCTTCCTTATTCCTTTCCCTTCCCCACCCTCCAGCCCAGCCCCTCCTTACCTGAACTGCCCCAGTCTCAGCAGAGGGAGGCGACCGCGGGGGAGCCTCCCAAATACACAGCGCTAACTTTCGGCTGGGACCCCTCACGACCAGCAGCCCTGCTCCGGCCTGAAAACAACTTTGTAATTACAAAGTCTGAATTCAGAGGATGAAAGAAGCTCATGGAATACTGCAGACAGTCACGTGGACAGAGGAACCTGTCAGAAGTGTTGCCTGTGCTGGCGAAAGTGTGAATGGCGATTTTTTGTGCCTGGAGGAAGCCCCCCGCTCCACCTTAGGTACTCTTGGGCAGGTGTCACGAGGTGCCCTGGGGATCTCAACCTTTTCAGCTGCAGAACTCCCCCAAGTGGGCCCTCCCACGAAGGCTTTTGGGGAAGGGGCCAAAGGAGGTTTTCCAAGGACACAGATGGAATTAGCAGCGAATGGGGGGAGGCTGAACTTCGGGGGGGCGGGGAGGACTGGCACAATAAGGTGCCTACTTCCTCTTGGTGGCTGAGGTCACTCTCAGGCCTAGACGCTAGGCTGACCCCCCAAGCTCTATCAGAGATCAGTGCAGGTTGACTCTGAGTCCAGACCCAGGCTTTGGCCAGCACAGACCCTATCTTGGCCCCCAGGCAGGCCCTGCCCTGCTCTTGGGGTCATATCGGGCCTCAATACCCCTTTTCATAAAGGTGCTACAAAAGGGAGCCCCCCATCCATGCCTCCCTCACCTCTGAGCCCTCCCTAGAGGTGCCTAAGATCGAACAGAGTCTAGCAGGGGGTCTCCACTCCTGTTCTCTCTTTGGGGTGCACTTCTTCCTGGTCAGAACAAACAAATGGCAAGGCCTGGAGGAGTCACCGTTGCCTGGGAGTCAGGAGTCCTGCCTCTGCATTGTGAGCCTGGGAAAGCTGCTGCCCCCTCTGGCCCTCCAGGGGCCAGACTCCAAGGCAGCCTCCCCCCCCCCATTGCCTTCTGGGCCCTCGGTGTGGCCACCACCCAAGGCTCTATCCTCAGCCCCTGCTCTCTCCCCTCTGCTGCCTGGCCACCCTCCTCTGGGCCAGTCACAGCCTGAGCCTACCATGGATCTCTGAGTTACAGCCCAGGATGTTTCCCAGGGAGAAAGCATGCTTTCATTTGCCTGGCCCTTGGTGGGCTGCTGGTGCCAGCTGACTTGGGATTTGACCTTGCTGCAGAAAATTCCAGGCATAACTCGGGGAAACCCACAGCCTCCAGGGAGCCTGAAAACATGGCAGGAGCATGCAGTGGACACGTGTACATGCATGCATGTGTGTGCATGTGCGCACATGCGCACGCGTGTGTGTGTGTGTGTGTGTGTGTGTGTGTGTGTGTTGTGTATGTGTCCCTCCCCACCCACCCATCAACTCTGGCTCTCGGCTCCTGCAGAGAGGTTCAGCTGGCAGAAGCTCACCCACAGTTCCCTCAGCGCCCCCCGCTTTGTGAGTCACGGCTTCTGTGCATTTGATGGCCCCTGAGTCACTGCTGAGAATCAGGGAGACAATGGGAGAGAGGGAGAGCAGGTGGGGGATAACTATAGCTCAGACCCTACACTTCCTTAGGGTCTCGCCAGCTAAGGAAGGGCCCCTGTCAGTGGGAGGGGGCCAAGACCTCAGTCAAGCCTGAGCCAGGGCTGCCAAGATGCTGGCTGGGCAGAGAGCAGGGCGGCCACGTGCAGCTGGGTCCTGTCCCTGAACGGGGTGTGTAGAAAGAGCCCAAGGGAAGCTCTCTCCAAAGAGCTGGGGCTACACCGGACTCAAGGTCTTTCCTGCAGTCAGGGGGTTCTGGGAGGTTCAGGATCTAGAGAATGAATGAATCAGCAATGGCCTAGGGATCCACTCACTGGCCCTGGTGTAGTGAGCTTTATGTGGCTGGCATTTGCAAACTCCTACGCCCTGGAACTGTGGATGGGTCCAATCAGTCTGCAAGACAATTTGGAAGGAGCGGGGCCGGGGTCGGGGAAGAGGAATGGAGAGGGACTGAAATGTCTTTTGACCCAGATATCCAGCTGCTGGCAGCTGGATGGCTCAGGGGATGGAGCATGGGGCTGGGAATCTGGAAGACTGATCTTTGTGAGTTTGAATCCAGCCTCAGACACTTCCTAGCTGTGTGGCCCAGGCAAGTCACATCACCTCATTTACCTCAGTTTCCTCATCTATAAAATGAGCTGCAGGAGGACATGGTTAAAGCGCCCTGGCATCTCTGCCAAGAAAACCCTAGTGGGGTCACGGAGAGTGCGTGGACTGAGATGACTCAACAGCAATGCCATCGCACTGCAAGGAGTGTGCCTCGAGGAGGTCACAGACAGGAAGAAATGCCTGCGCTCCACAATGCCTAGCACCGCCTCTTCTGGAAACAAAGTGCAAGCCCTGCTGCTGGGGACTGGGTGGCCCCAGGCCACATTCCTGGGCTGTGCAAAATGGTCAAGCAATGCCAATGAGCATTTAGTGAATGTCTACCATGTTCCAATCACTGCTAAGCGATGGAATACCGAAACAAGCCAAAAGAGATATTCCCTACTCTCAAGGAGCTTCCGCCCTAATGGGGAAGACACAAAAGGGAGCTGAAAGGGACGGCAGTGGAGAAGGTTCTGGGCCCTGGGCACAGTGGAAAAGCCCAGAGGAGGGAGCCTGACCGCCCTCCTTAAACGGAGGAGCCCTCCCCGCTCCAATCAGGGAGAGGCAGCGGCCTCAGGAGCAGAGAGGGCCCTGGCAAGGCAGGAAGTCCAGGATGATGAGGTTTCGGGGCGTGAGGGAGGAACCCAAAGGAGGGAGCCTGCTGGGAGATGGTCAACAGGAAAAGTTCAGAGAAGGCGAAAAGGCCTGATGGGAACTACTGCGATGGAGACCACCTACCAGGAGACATCCTCATGGTCCCTGACTCCACTTCGCTGATCACCTTTGTCAAAAGGAGATGGGAGTGTGGATGGCTCCCACTGGGCTGAGGCTGGCTCTCCAGAAGACCCCTCCTCCCCCTGCTCTTCCCCTGCTTTTCCTCCCCCTCCTCTCCCCCCCCTCCCCTTACTCCTCCTCCTCCATGAGGGCCAGCCAGACAGGAGCCTTGGAGAGGCCA